AGTACTCTAGAATCTGGCTGAGCCGTCCAAACGTCGTCGCGTTCTCGGGTCTGAGTCTAAGTGCAAGTTTCACGTGGCAAAGCATACGATGGCGCTGGTGCATGACAATCCGCATTAGGAATCATGGTAAATCGTTTCTATTAGCCAATTTTCCTTTTTCTCAGCCTCTTTGCATCGTATCTCATTCCGTCAATATATCTACGGCCTATTTTCACAGAGCTCCGTCGTCACAAATCTTAGTTCTGATACTCTCCAAGGCCCTGCCGCACTGCTGAGGCTCTCTAAATGATAGATAGCTAATCCCGTTAAATGGGTTGTCTAACAGCGTAATCCCCAACCCTTTCCTCGGCTCTCCGACGTAGTCGGGATATTAGACAACCCAGGGCGCTGTGGGTCGACATCATGTGCATCAATTAGACCAACTACGCCGAGAGAGCGCAGCAAGTGTCTCTCATGAGTGATATCTACGGACGGACTGCGCATGGCTTATTCTAACTCGGAGAGGGGCCAGAGGAGCCAGCCTGAACTGTGCGCAAAGAGCAGGAACAGGAGCTCGAAGAAGTGTCAAGGCAAGCCGATGCTGCGATTAAGCATGCGCTGCTTCTCGTAGCAGGAAACTCAAGCAAACCGGACGCATATAATCCTGTGCCCTACGATGCGAGAAAAGTTGCTGTAGATGACGCTTTTAGAATAGGCAAGACGCGAGTGGTAGTCTGGAATGGCCACAGCTCGGATATGCCACTTCTCAAACAGTCTGAAGCACGCTTTGGAGCGGCGTCTAAGCGTGGGAATCTGCCATATGATCCGCTGTCCGAGGACCACATCTTTCAGGCTTTCTGCCCTATCCGCTTTCTCGATCGGAATACGCATTTTGATCTGATACTACACCTTCAAGCCGACATCTTACAACCTATCAATACGTACCGAACGAACGCATTCCGCGCTGTTCACTGGGTCTTGGCTCTGCATTGGTGGAGACGCATCTGGGAAGTTCAAGAACCTGTGCCTCCCAGAACAGCGACAATCCTCTACGGCCGAGTGCAAGCACCGTGGGGCATGTTCCTTGAAGCTGTGGATATTCAGAGATACCATACTTGATTCGCATCAACTGTCATCGGCACGTTCTCAAAGCATGACAGTAACAAGGCGTATCTCGCGCTTTTCGATATTTGAGTGCCATGCAAAGTGTGATCGCCACAGCATACAGCAAGCTCAGAGATGTTGAGCATCGAGGATCATTCCAGACTTCCATTGGGTTAGTTGGAATGGCATTACAGCGAGAAGGCTGGCCGAAGGCCACAGGCTCGACTTTGTTTACTGACGATGAGAGAAAATCATTCCATCACAACATCCCTACCTAATTGCATATAATCTCCTTCAAAATCCGACTTCGGTATATATGCCAACGCTAATGATCAATAATCAAAACCCTCCACCTGACGCTATGCAAATGCAATGCTCGCGATAAATCAATCACTCAAACTCCATCAAACCCCCCTCATCCTCTCCAGGTCCAGACTCATCTCCATCATCTCTACCCACATTTTCATCAAACTGATCCCTGCCATCACTATTATCTTCATCCCCCATACTTTCACTCCGCCTCAGCGGACTCCTCTTCCTCAACCCCAGCCCTTCCTCCCCCACCTTCAGCATCTCGCCTGACTTATCCATCTCTTCCCAGCTAGGTTTCATATCTCTACTTCCCCTAGGCGTTGCCGGGCCCGACTGCGTCGCCAGAACCCTCGGCCTCTCTCCATCCTCCAAGATATCATCCGACCCGCTCCTTTCCCTCTCCCTCGCCCCGCCGACGACCCCATTACCAACCTCACTCCCGGCACTCGTCGGCGTCGGTGGCTCGAATTCCAATCTTATCGGGCTCCTATTGCCATCCGTCTCGGCATCTGAGCTCAAATGCCCTCTGCCTGCCTCATACCCCGGATCGCTCAGATGGCCCCCCCCGCTCCCACTGCCCGCTGTATCACTCCTCCACATGCTGCGGAATCTACCTCCACGGCGTCCGGATTGCGGGCTGCCGGGCGGGGTATCAAAGATACGTTTACCGAATTGCTGCTGCGCTGACCCCATCATCTGCTGCACGATGGGCACGTCGAGTTGAGAGCCTAGAGTCCCTGAACGAACGAAGAGCACGAGGCCAAGGCAGAGCAGAAGCATCGTGCTCTGCACGACCGCCATGCGTTTCTGAAATACCAACTCATCCGCCAAAAGCGTCAGCCGCGCTCCAATCTCTCCGATCTCTCTCTGATACTGCTCCCGATGACTCTCGAGCTCCAGTATTGTAGACTGCCAGAGCTGATCGTATTGCATTCTGTAACTTTTGAGCTCGGCCATTACGGTCGAGTTGATGTTTTGGAGAAAAGTTTCCGTCTTGCCGAGTTGCCGCTTTTCAACCTTTATGAATGCGTCGCGGAGGATGCGTGATTGTTCTTCAATGTATTGGAGGGAAAGCGTGCTGTTGGATTCGAGCTGCTGGAGGCGCTTATGGATGGATTTAAAGAAAGATTCTTGGGTCGTGGGGTTCGCTGGAGCAGGTTGAGTTTGGGAAGACGATGGACGGGAGTGAGAGTGGGTCGAAGATTGTTCGCTAGATGAGGGTGAAGATTTTGTTGATGGTGCACTAGAGGAAGACACCGTAGAAGCGTGGTTTGTCGCCGGTTTTACCGCAATGTTAGAGATTGAGATGGTATTTGAAGTGGTCGCAACCTGTACAGAGCTGGAGGGCGATATGACTATCTTTGAAGAAGAATTTGAGCTTGCGGTGGCCGTTTCATTGAAGTTAGGTATGTCGACCATGCCGGAAGGAGCAGAACTCCTCTCCTCTTTGAGCGGTGAAAATACTCCTGAATGGGAAGTGGTCACGGACTGCTGTTCGCTTGCGGTCATTTCCGAGTCATTGCCACTGTGTGCAGGCTGTGATATAACAACAGACTCATTCGGGAAGGTTTCCGCATTCGTTTGGACAGGCTCTGGCTCAGGGGGCTGGCCTTGCGGTGATTGCTGATCTGATGGTTGAGAGACATTTTCTTTATTTTGGGACGCCTCTGGTAAGGGCTGCTGGCTGGTTTGATCTGAAGATGTACCAGGAATTCCACTTGTTGCACTCTCTTCGTTCACTGGTATGGCAGTCGTCACGGGCTCTCCCTCTGCCTCCTCGATTGGCTCGGAATAGTCGTCTTCTCCTCTTGCTGCTTCTTCCTGGTGCCTGAACTCTTCCATCATAGTTGTGCCGTGGACCCTCAGAAGGCTTACCGGACAGTAGTACTCGTTCCCATAATGGCTGAGAAACTCTACTCTCAAGTATCGTGCCCATATAAGAGGGTTCTCGATCAAGAAAGCTTGAATATCGCGTGAGTTACGCGCTTCGAACGTTCCAAGCTCTTTCCATCGGTCTAGTTTCACCGGATACCGGTCCGAGACACTGATGCGAAAAGTACGAAACATGGAAGAAAAGAACTCGAAGTTGGCAAGAACTATGGTATCTATCAAAATATCGTCGCAGAGTTCGACGATGATGAATTTGTTTTCAGCTGCGCATTCGTTCAGCATATAGCTGTCCTTATTCTCAACCAGAACTGACGAGGAGCTTTTGCACTGCGGGTTCGTCTTCAAGACCGTAGCTGCACAATCGAAGGAGGCATAGTTGAATCTTTCTTTGCAGGTCTTACCGGCGTCCTTGCTGCGAGCTCGCGAGCTCGGAGGCACGCTTCCACCGTCATCAGCGGTTTTAGACGCTTCGTGTCTCTCGCGTGTTCCAGAGGCCCAGCTTGCGGTGCCATCATCGCGCCGCCCAGCATCACCAAATCCGCCAAAGTCTAGCTCAAACTCTGCATCTTCGCCCAATGAATCCAGGGCGTTGTTTATATCCACCGGTCGTCTTCTACCACCAGAGCCGCCTGATGTGCCTCGCCCTTGCCCGACGTTGTCAGGAGACTGGCCAGCACGCACAAGATTCTGCTTCTTCCATTCTTCGAAAGATAAAAAATGGGCATTATCGAGGGGTGAATCGGTCTCGACTTCGGACTCGGTGCTTGCGGTACCGCTGGGAAAGGGTGATTGGGAGGCGTCTTCGGTCTGCTGTGGATCAGAGTGAGAGGAGGATATTGAGCCAACCTCTCCCGCCGAGCTAGATTGAATTATTCCTGGTGTCCTAGATGCACTCTCAGCATCTTTGGGCTGGTCTGATGTTCCCTCTCCCCACCACGGTATCGCCAGCGTCCCTGCGGAAGCATCTGCCAAAGAGGCCTTAGTGGATTGTGACCAGCTTGTTTTCAAGCATTGCTGCGCTAGTGTGTGCGTGATGTAATTAATCGTGCGAGACTGGCATGTTGAAGGGGAGCTATAAGTAGCCACAGAAATCTTTGCTGAAGTTGGCGTAGTTATCGATGAAGGCGAAAGATAAATCGAAGCAGAAGGTATCGAAAAAAAGGAGTTTGGCGAATATTCCGGACCAGCGGTCTCATTCGTGCTCTGTGCTAGTGCTGGGGTGCATAGAAACAGCAACAGATGTGTCCATATGCATACATATGCGCCAATCGTGAGCATTGCTTGTTGAGCGCATTTCTCAAGCAAGCTGTAATTCGTGGAGGAGTCAATGAACGGGCCTGTATCACCATGTACAGGTCTGAGGACACAACTCTCGATTTTATTGTGTTGTAAAACAGGTTTGGCGGTGAACAAGTCGCAGGTGGCTTTTTGGAGATGACATACTATCGCCAAGCCTCAATCTTTCGTCCCTGGTCAGAACGTTGAAAACGCCAAGAAAATGGGTTGAACTAATCGGAAATTTACACCGCCAATCACGCGGACATTCTGAGGTTTACGATAATGCGGATACATATACGTAGGAGAGGCAACAAGGAAAAGGCACAAAATCAAATGGAATAAAATGTCCAAAAAAAAAAAAAATAAAAAATAAAAAAAAATAAAAAAAAATAAAGAGGAAAAATGAAAAAAAAAAATGGTTGGCAACTCAAAAATAATGGGGTGAACCGGGCTTGAACCGGTGACCTTTAGATTGCAGGACCAGAAGTGAACTTCAGTCTAACGCGCTCCCAGCTGCGCCATCACCCCAATGTTGAAAACCATGGGATAAATATTCATTTATAACTATAACTACTTTGCCAATCTTAACATTATACCATATCTTGATATATTGTGCACTCCAACTTGTTTACCTTCTCGAAACTCTCCTGGGCTTCGTTTTTGAAAACCGCCGCTAACTAAGCGGAATTATTACAAGGTTAGTTTTTCTGGAGGGGGAAATAGACCTTCGTGATTCCAGTTTTCATTTGTCAACATTTTCTTCTGCAGCCAGTGACAGTTAAAGGTGCTTTTGGCCAGATTCCGGAATTCCAACAAACTCGGAACATGTATCTGTGAGAGGGTATTTAATGCCCTCCAGACTGAGCCGAATATATACTACAAATATACCAACGATTAAATACTACACCAGGACTCTCATACCCTCATGGACACAACAACATGGCATGGAATCCTCACAGGGCTGTACTGAGTGCTCTCAGTTGTAGAAAGCTATCATGTCGTAAAAGGCGTACCCAACCAGCCAAAACGAGCGCAGAAGGCGCAGCACGCGGCACGCACAAGCGCATATAAACGCAGTACGTAACATTCGTGACAAAGAGAACCTAGAGGAGGATGCAGTGCAACCTGCGCCCAAAACAAAAGACCGAGAGCGAGCGCGATAGCACCAAAAGCCACCACCAAAGACCCGCCCCATGTCAAGCGTTTGAAAGGTCTATTGCCTCGCAGCCGTCGCCGCCCGATCTTTTCAAATACCCGCCAGGCCCACTCTACATCTTTCTTTATTCCCCGAAACGCCGTACTGAGATATCCCTAACGCCATGCAAAGAATGAACTAGATGTGAAGGTGCAAAGAGCGCAGTATAAAAAGTAATAAGCTGTACTTGCTACGCTGTCGTAGAAGCATGCAGAGGGTATGAAGCGCCAGACGCGTTAACGCTTATTCGCGGAAACGATAGTAGAATGTAGTATGGATTGTAGAATAAGATTGTAAGGCAGCCAAATGTTTCGAAGAGATAATGAGGGGGAGACTATGCGATGAATAGGGCCAAGAATAACTCAGACCAGCTGTCGGAGGAGAGCAGCTAGTTGAGCATCCTTTATGCCCTTCTCCCTATGTCAGAAACCTTCTTCGCCGGCGCGGCAGACTTTTATCTCCTTGACCCATTCGGAAAACAGAACCTGATGAGCTGTGAGACGACGAGTGGGATTCGGGTCAAGGATCGAGTAAATCACGTTACGGCATTGACGCTGCCTCAATGTTAGCAGCGAAATCTCCGAGGGTGTTGGATCATTTACCCGGCGAAGCACCTCAATGGGCCTATACCCAGCTTCCTCCTTGCGATCTTCAAGATACCTATCAAAGAACTCGTCCTCGCCCCTCTGAGCAACTCTCCAAAGATGACGGCCGGTTCTCATGGCCATGTAGATGATACCACAGGCCCAGACATCGACCGCGCGAGGGTCGAATTCTTGATCAACATACTCTTCAGGGGCAATGTAGGGAGCGGAGCCGCACAGACCGGCGGTCATGTGCGCCTCCTTCTCCCAGGCCATTCGGAAGCATTCGCCGTTGCCGAAATCAGTGATCTTGATAGATCCGTGCTGTGTAAGGAGAAGATTCTCCGGCTTCAAGTCTCGGTGGGCAACGCCCATCTCATGCATGTATTCGACCCCGCGCATGAGCTGCTTGAAGAAGCAATCAGCCTCCGTGACTTCGAGTTGGCCAGCCGCAAGGACCAAGGTGTACAAATCGCCACCAGAACAGTACTCCATAACCTCACAATACAGGCCTTTGTCGTCCTTGAGAAGATCCAGGGTGTTGATGACATTGGGATGCTGCATTGAGGAAGAAATGCAGAACTCAGCCGTGAGACGCTTCTGATACTTCTTCGTCGATTCCCCCGGCCGCTGCTTAAACTCCTTGACCGCGTATAATTGTTCGCGTTTAGGGTCGCTGGAGTCGGTCTTATGCGCGACTCGAACTATTCCAAAAGCACCACGACCAACAACCTCCTGGCATTTTCCGTATTTTTGGACAAGTGTCTGGGATGTGTTTGTCGAGTTCTTTTGCTCCGCCAACTTTTCTCTCTCGTTCCTCATAACATCGACCCAGTTCGCCATCAAACTCAGTGGCTGCTCGTCCTGATTGCCTTCCTTTTTCTTGCCGGTCATGAGATTTTGAAACATGTCGGACAACTTTTCCTGGCGCTTGCCGACTTTAAGATGATGTTCATGAGTGCCATCCTCATTGATCCAAAACCGTCTGAAAGGTTGTGAAGCAGCCTCTCTTTTCTTATCACTCCCAAATTTGCTCTTCTCCAGAGACTTTTTGTCGACAACGGACGGCTGGCGCGGAGGTTGCTGTGGTCGTACGGTATTGGCCGGCACCGTTGATGTCCCGTTCGCGACCTTTCCTTCGGGAATTTTGTCCGCCAGATTTATCCGCGACGACTCTCTGCTGTCGCTACCTTCTTTCCTCGAGAACATGCCGCTTATCCGCGATGTCATTGTCGGCTTCTTCGTTTTTAGGGCAGCGTCACCACTCTGCGGGACAGGATTCGCCTCAGTTGCATTTGTCGACGGAGGCAAGGACAAGAGGCCATCAGGCTGCGAGTTCAGGGACGATGTTGTTGAGTTTGACGGTACTGGGGAGACGGCGGACTTGGAGCTCGAGCTTGGAGGGCTTCTCCGAAGCTTGTCGGTCGCAGGTGCAGCCATGATCTCGATCAACGGAGTACTTGGCTGCAGATGACGGGAGGTCGACAGGTGTAGATTGGTGAATGTTGCGTTTGAGACTGGGGTCTCGCGGCTGGGGCAAAGCCCGCAGTTAAAGCTTTAATACCCACAAAACAGCTCCGTTCGATTTGTGCTGCTTGGCTACCAAAGTGGAAAACGAGTATCCGCAACGAGCTTGTATGTATGTCGCTAGTGCTGGCGGCGTGCAAGGCCTTGCTTATGGCAAACCTTTGGAGAGGATTTGAAATTGCTGACAAAAAACGACCGAGGTCAGCGATCGTTGCAGGCGGAGAGCGGACGGTGGCTGTGCCGTCGGAGTGAGGGCGTTTGGAGGCCGTTGGTGTGATTTGGAAAGGCTTCTCCGAATTTATTATGTTGCTAGAGTGGTGAGTTGTGAGTGGTGAGCGGGAAGGTGGATAGAATTAGGCAATAGGTTGGGGGTGAAGGGAATTATTGTCTGTGCAGGTGGCTTGCGGGGAATGGTGGTGGATACTCGTGCTGCTCGCTGGTGCGCGATTTTCCAAAGCTCGAGACGAGGATTAAGCTAATTCGAATCTTGCAGCATAAAGTCTTTATTTTCGCTGGACTAAGGAGAGCCGGAAGCTGATGAAGATGGGAAGGCCCGCGGAATGCAGTGAGATCTGGCAGGCCGGGTGGCTCAGAAGCGCTGCATACAGAGCGAGGCAGGATTGCACGGAGGGCAGGGCGACATATGCTGGACAGATGATTGTTGTAGGGGTGCTTTCACCATTCACGCTCCGGCAACAGCAACAACAACAACAACGACGACAACGACAATAAAAATAATGCCGGCCAACCTATATAAAGAGACGATATTAAAAGACGAGAGCATCTCGACCACGCCCTCAAATGCTCAATATCAGGTCATCCTTCTTGAGTCACCGTAAGAATTCCGATGGTGAAGGGCGGGTGTGGGCTCGGCCTCATCTTCGTATGACAACAGTCAGAGGGACAAAGATGTGACGTCTTTGGCAAGCCACGTGCAAATATCCCTTTCCCCTTCCCAGTGGCCAGCTGGACAATGAGATTCAAGCTTCTCTCTCCATCCTGTGCGTGCTGAGAATAGCCTTGAAGTGACCAGTACAGAACGCTCACCAAAGCATCGCATGGAAATAGTTCTCTTTGAAGCTCTGCCGTGCCATGCCCTGTTACAGCCTTGTGGAATTAGGACTCTCCGTAATGTTTGCAGTCAAGCATCGTGGAGACCAGATGGCGCCATCGTTCCCATAGCACCACAACCACACCAACACCAACACCATGTCGTATGTCGTATGTTATCTCCCTTCTTCCGAAAGCCTCCTCTCCGATGCAGATTCACAGACCAGAGGTTAATTTTCGAAGCTCATCATCCAGACAGCTTTCCATCCATAGCCGGCAGTACACGACTAAATAGTAAGATAACCCCAAAAAGGAACAGGACACAAAATAATCGAGCGCTGCGAGGACAGGGGGTTCGGGGGAAATCCTCCATAGAGAACCATCCCGGCGACTTTCTGTTCACTATTTGTTGTGTATTTATGGGCATTCCCCCTTCCCCCCAACCTCCCGTCCTCGCTACGCTCGAGGTGTCCCATGCCTGCCGGCCAGAGACGGAGCGAGAGAAAGGAGAGAGTGAGCACCAGAAGCTGTTCAACGACTGCATGGCCAACTCGGACGTGCTGCGGCATCCGCTCCGCATTAGCATTGGAGACCGTTGAAGAGAAGGAAATGTATCCGTCCGCCTGCCCTGTCTTCATCTCATGACATCTGCTCGACCGACTGGTCATATTTCCGCCGCTGCTGCGCTGCCACACTGCCAGCTTCTCCACCCCGCACTACTCTTCCGAGCGACATGGCATTAGCTTCCTCCAGTGCTGTCCTCTTCTAGCTGCAGCCGCGTCGGCAGAGGCAGCAAGGCCTTTGCAGACCAGTCAAAAATCCCTCAAGCTTGATTCTGCATGAGACGAGACCGATCTACAACCTGCAAGTTCGCTGCAAAGTCGCTGCAAAGTCGCTGCAAGGTTCGGCGCAACACCATCTCTATTTGAACTGCAATGCACTGCAAACGACCGCAAGTACTGTCGTCGATTCCGCCATGCTGGTCGCGTCCGTCCACTCGGGATCTGAGGAAGATGCACACAGCCGTAGGCACAGTGCAGTCTGATTGGTCCGGTAAAAAACCCGACTCGATATCGGTCAACTCCTCCCCACTTTGAGATATCAAAATGCAAAGGTGTTGTGTCCATCGTGTTGATAAAGCTTGCCCTGGCAAGCCGAGAGCAGAGTGCTGC